CTTTCTCTCTAACTTCAAAAATTCACAAGGAATAAACAAAAGCTCTTTCAGTATGATCCTGATAAAAAGCATTCAAATCAATCATATGGGAATGCAGCAAATATAGCACATATGAAGCTTCTGAAGACTTTTGGTAACCTATGCCATAGAAGACTTGTACTAAAATTATTTGGAAACCCAGTGTAGCATTAGAGAGCATCTGGAAGTGGTGTGCTCCACAGGTCACTGTTGGATGATACACAGATGGAGCTGGACACAGAGCGCACAATATTAAATATATGTCAGCAATTCAGTGGGGTGAAGAAGAAAAGATTAGTGCCTCTGCTTAGGAAATCAGCGATAAGGAATCAAATTAAATTGGTCTCTGAACAAGGTGAGGGATTAGGCAAATTTCTTTACGGAGAAAGAAAATACTGGATTATTAGTAAAGAAAACCAAAAAAGAAGTGAGATTAATTGGATAGGTCTGCTAAAAGGTTTGCACAGGAAAAACTTGCATTTCTGCTATAAAACATCGGCTACTAAGGGCAAAGAAGGCAGTCATATTTGTACAGAACCTTTCAAATGCTAAGGATTTTCCAAAGTATTTCACAGCTAAAAGAAGTGTAGTCATTGTGTTAATGTAGTTGCTTGTTTCAGAAAACGTGGTACCATAAAAGCTAATGAAGTTGCCTGCAGCTGGATGGAAACAGACAATGTAGAATTTAATTGTTTAATTGTTTGATGGGTAATTAAGTAAGTATCTGTCAGCTTTGTTCTGTACACTTGCTTCTTTATATAAAAAAAGAAACCTGGGTATGATTACAGAGAAAGAGAAACTAAACCAAAAGCAAGAATCATGCAAGCAGACATTTTGAAGCATTGAATAAAACTCCTAATCAGATTTAGGAAACATGCCCAAATTCTAGAAATACTCATTTATTCATAACACAATGTTCAGCTTGAGGAGAACAAAAAAAAAATGTAACTCTGGCTTAAAGTGAATCAGTTCACAAAGGGCATGTAGGTCAAAGAAAAGTTCAGTTTGCCACTTGGAGGTATCTATTGCTGAAAGTGAAATGTGGCATGTGTATACTATCACAGCTGGTAAAGCATCAAGTCATTTTAAAGATTGTTCAGTTGAGATTGTGAGCATCTGTGTTGCTTATCAATGTCACTCACTGTAGATTCTTCTGTGACAACAATCTCTACCATGTTACTTTTCACAAAACCTTTTCACTCCTGTAACAGACGTTCTTCAACCTTGATTATTGCAGTTTTGGGAATAATAACAGAATGTCTTACAACTAAACAATCTCATTCTATAAAGCCAGAATGGTCGGCAGAGGTTTTATTGGAGTAAACTTGATTAATAGCTCTGGCTTCAAACTTGAAGTCCCACTGAAGTACATATATATTAACATGATCGATGACAGTATCTCTCCTATATTTAGTGGTTTTAGAGAGATCGAGGGATACCGTCATGCTCTTCCCATAAACAGATAATTTCTACAAGTTTCACAAAATGAGGGAAGGTTAACAGCCTGTGCTGAAGTCTCATAGAAGCAGAAATGACTTGAAATAGAGATGGTATTATTGAGCAAAATCAACACATCTCTGTGGGTATCAACCTTAGTCATTGAGTCAAATTTGCCAAACTTAGACTGCGTCAATTAAGGCAGTCAACAAGACTATCGTTTCGGACATGTATGATCCAATAAATATTAGTACTATGGCTGCACAGTCTTCTGAAGTGTGACAGGTGATTACTAGTGTTATTTAAAAATAGACATAAGCAAACACAGTAGGTTAAAACACTTTTGCTGCTCATGAAGTGTGTTATAGAACAACTAATGCCCCACTAAGCTCAGGAACTAGCACATTCCAGAAGATTTTTTCAGTCTTGCCAGATGCTAGTATGGCCAAGCAGTTTAAGGCGCTGAATTAAAGGTCCCATCTCTGTTGGCAGCACAGTGGCTCAGTGGTTAGCACTGCTGCCTCACAGCACCAGAGGCCTGGGTTCGATTCCAAACTTGGATGACTGTCTGCGTGAAGTTTGCACATTCTCCCCGTGTCTGCGTGGGTTTCCTCTGGGTGCTCTGGTTTCCTCCCACGGTCTAAAGATGTGCAAGCTAGGTGTATTGGCTGTGCTAAATTGCCCTAAGTGTTCAGGGATGTGTAGATTAGATGGGTTACAGAGGGAGGAGTCTGGGTGGGATGCTTAGAGGGTCGGTGTGGACTTGTTGGGCTGAAGGAGCTGTTTCCACACTGTAGGGATTCTATTCTATGTTGCCAGGATGTTCAACCTGCCTACAACATTGTCCCTTCCATGGGTGACAAAGCAGAAGGCACACAGATTTTTAATCAATCGTTCTTGTCAGTGCACACAACACAATTTGACTGTCAGCAAGGACTAATGCACTTTCCCCAGCATCCAACATTAACTTATTCAGGTATAGAATCACTGCAGTGGAGGAAAACCTACGCATAACAACAGTCAAAAATATTCATGCAATTCTGATATTGTCTAGCCCTCAGTATAACCAACCTATTATCAAAAATTCAATTATACAGCGATCATGGAGCATTTTTGAAAGCAACTGTGTAAAGATGCACAACTGGAACTGACAATCACACAAAGAGCATTTGACATATCAAATGTAACAATAATATCTCCATCAGACTCTTTGAATTTTCAGCCATATGCAAAAATATACATCCAACAGATGCATCAGGTTATGGAATTGGAGCTGTACTCTCACAGGACATTGAAGGAAGCAAATGACCAAATCACTTACTTGTTATACGCATTATTGGCAGCTGAAAACAAATAATCTATTGGAGAGTGGGAAGCACACGAGTGCATTTTTGCCTCGGAACATTGCTACATGTATTCTTAATCATTGAAAGTTCACTTTCTGCACTGATCTCGAACCATCACCTATATTGCAGTTGGGAGTGACATGGGGACCGGCAGTCGTTCTGCTCTGAATGAAGTTTTTCATGAAACAAGTTCTTGCCAGTATGGTTAGTTATGTATCACTTCATTAAAACAGATAATTAATATCTAGATATTTTTCCTTTGTTTAAATGGTCATGAAGAATAGGGGTGTTATGCCTATATCACCAACAAGGAGAGAGAAATCTGCAATATCACCTATATGAAACGAGTTAAAAAGGTTTTAAACAACACAGGCTCACTTAGTACATAAGCACTAACAGGTAATAAAGGCATTACATGTTGGAAAATGGTGCTTTGTTCCCCCGGTAAGCAGAGCCTTTGAGGTGTTGTTTGTTCTTGGAAATGAAGATGATTGTATTCATTATGTATAGTGTTTGATAAGATTCTGGTGGGTAGACAGGTGATTGCCAAGGCTGATCTGCCCCTGGAAGGTTCTACTACAAAACAGGACAGGATACTGCATTTTTCTGAAGAAGGGTCTAGATCCGAAACGTCAGTTTTCCTGCTCCTCTGATGCTGCTTGGCCTGCTGTGTTCATCCAGCTCTACACCTTGTTATCCCATTTAATTCCATTTGTGACTGGATGTGGATTAGAAGACCAGCACCAACATCCAGGTTATATGCAAGCATGCCATTATGGAAAAGCCAAACCATTGTGCTGAATTTCTCCAGACAGCCAAATTTCTACATTACCTTTCAAAAGTCCTCAATATCATAACAATTATGCAAAATCCTGTATATAGCTTGTAGTATGGATGCATTAATACTTTTAAATGGATAAAGATAGATCACTGATTTCAAATAAGTTTTATTACTCTTTACATTGAACTGTTGCCTCAATTTGCCAGAGAAGCAAAAAGACAGTTTGTCTTTTTTCTCTCTGATGATCTACCACAAGTGTAGGATCAAGCACTTTCTGCTGGGATGCAATTACCTTTAGCACACAAGGATCACCTTTGTGCAACCTATCTAATTGCTTTCAGGGGAAATACTTTGTCAATCTTTCTCAAGTGTGAATCTTTCATTAGCTAGTGTAGAATGTTGAAAAATCACCCTGCTGTTATAATAACCTAAAAATGGACTAAATACTCAATTTCCTACAGAAGATAATTGTTTTAAAAATCAAAATGATTACATTTATTAACATACACCCATTAACCCAAAAGACAAAAGCTGTTTTAATGCGAGTATGTGATTGATTAGGGCAGATCTGAATGACAGTCGACACTTTCCCTGACCAGAAAAAACACGACAGGGAATCTAAGCAATAGTGTTTTAAAACTGCCCTCTGGGCAGGTGATTTCCTCTCTCCCATGGGTAATTCCCTGCGTGACCAGCATACACAAAGAGGCAACACTGGAATTGAATCTGTACATCATTACCTTCGGAACAATAAATCATGTAGAATCCCACCCTTTAGATGCTTTGTCTGGCTGTCTAGTGTTACCACTGTGCAATTAACTTATTCGTTCTGAGTTAACTGACAATATGTGGTTCAAGTCAACAATGAGCGTTTGATAAACTGTAATGAAAAGTGAAATTAATACAATATAATCCGAATATCCAATGCGTTAGGGAGTTTACTCGTCTTCTTTTAAGATTCTTCTTTGCATCACGGACCATACAATACCATACCATAAAAACATTTCAGATATACTGTAGAACTGGAAGTGAGTAAGAGACTTAGCTCAACAACTGAAATTGTCACAAATATTAGCAATAACGATTCTCGTTCATGTTTAGAAAACCTACCTGAAATCTTCCGATCATAGAAATGAAAAGCGCTTGTGTGCAAATACATCGGAGTTAATAAAGTCAAACTCACCATTACAGCTGCCCTTTCTCTCGAAACCAGAATAACTGAAGTCAGATTTGGCCGTTTCTTTGCGCACATGTACTCCATACTACCCTTAGTGTTTTAAAACGACTGAATTGATCACGCTTGAATCTGTCAGTTAATGGGAGGGGGGGGGGCGGCGGGGGCATGTAAGGGTACAATGCAATTTAACTCCAAACTGTGATTCTCAGGCAGTACACCGCGGCGCCCCTGTGAAGCCTACCTTTGATACATGTTTCCATTTCCAGTTGCTTTTTCTGCTCCATGGCAGGCACAGCAACACAGTTGCAACTTCAGTTGAGGCGTTCAGTTACAGTGTGGCGAGCCCCTGACGCCGCTCCGCTAGCTGCTCCTAGTCTCGCGCTCCCTTGCTCTCTCTACCACTGCCGCCCCGCCAGCTGTCAAGATCTGCCGGGTGACTGACAACGCCAGCCATCCAATCAGCGAAGGGTATTCGTTTCAAGCTCACCAATAGACATCGGCAAAGACCCGGAGTGCCGGAGTAACAATGCAAGGGGTGACGATTGACAGATCAAGTAACAAATCAGAAGGTACGACAACCTTCAGCCAATCAGAGAGGGAAACACGCGCCGCCCGCCTTGGTCCTGTGCCGCTTGATGTTACAAAGAACCAATCACGTCACGAGAAAGGAAGCTGTTTGCCCATTAGCTGTGGTGCGGGACGAGGTGTGGTTCCCTGGGTTGCAAAGCTCCGTCCCACATTCGGCAGTTTCATTGTTGTAGTGAAGACTGACTGCTAGCCCCATGAGGTATCAGGCCTCAGCAAATCCAGTGACCAATGTATAAATGAAAACTTGTGGTAGAGACACTTGTGCAAATCTACAGCTTATTGAAATGTGGCAGGCCATGCAAAAGAACCAACGGAGAGGCAAATTAGATGTTCATTGGAAGGCGAGAATGCTGGAAATACTCTGAGGACCTGAATACAATATGTTTTTGTGATCAGCAACATGGAATGCATAATCAAGGAGGTAGTGATGGATCTATACCAGGCCTTGAGCCACAATTATACTTAATAGTCTGTACAATTTTAGCACCCTTAATAGTAATGGAAAGGTGCAATGTAGATTTACTAGGATGCTATGAATGGTGAGAGCTTAAAAATTATGAAAAAGTATAGAACATTGAGTAACGATCTGATCCTTTGTTCAAGGTTATGGAAGGAATCTTAAAAGTAAATGGTAAAAGGGTGCACCCAGTGGTCTGAGACAAGAGAGCATGAAAAGAATTGGGGAGGTTTAAACAAATTCTTCATAAAGAAGTTTGTGGAAGTCTATAGTCCTCTGCTGCATAACCTATGTTGAAGCATTTGTTTTAAAGAAAGACGAGATTGTTACTTGAAAAAAGAAATGTTAAAGGTCATGGGTTGGGGGAGTAAGCAGTCATGACGGGATAAGGTGATTTATATGAGAAGAAATACCATTGCAGTCTGAATAAACCATGAATTAAAATCAATGACTTTTGATCTCAGTGTAAATGTCACAATCTGATACCACTACATTTTGATATTTCATTTGATCAATGATGACTACGCTTACCTTGCCCCGAGGAGGCCACTAAACCTGGCAAAGTGTGCCAAATAAAGATGATATCATCATTTGAAACAAGAAAAACAAGTATGTTTATCGCCGTTAGAACCAATCTGTACCTCTAAACTGAACCCAGCATCAGGATATGTTGTTATTTCTACACTCCATTGAAGATATTGGCAAACTGCTCTTCTATCAGTTGGTGATAGCAATGGCATGTCCCCCTCTGTGTCACCAGCCATTCTTGTGGGTTGGTCTGATGCTCCATCCTTCTGGGGCTCCACTGGCACTGTCAGCTCTCTTACTAGTTTGTGAAATTCTGATGACTTTCCACTGGATTTATAATGAAAATGTACCAGATAAGCTGCCTAGGTGTGTACATTTGGCCTAGGTGTCTCTGTGCTGCAGTTTTCTGTGAGTCTGTATGATTAATCTTGAATCCAATTGATGGAATGGTGTGGTTGGAGTGTGGTAGCTATGTTTGTGAAAACAACCTGTAATACAGGAACTGAATTCCACACTGTTGCAAAGATAGTAGGAACTGCAGATGCTGGAGAATCTTGAGATAACAAGGTGTAGAGCTGGATGAACACAGCAGGCCAAGCAGCATCAGAGGAGCAGGAAAGCTGACGTTTCGGGCCTAGACCCTTCAGCAGGAAAGCTGACATTTCTAGGCCTGAAACGTCAGCTTTCCTGCTCCTCTGATGCTGCTTGGCTTGCTGTGTTCATCCAGCTCTACACCTTGTTATCTCCACACTGTTGCAGTTGTGGTGGTAAGGACTGGGTACCTTAAGTAGAAGTCTGCCATAACCAATCGAGTCATAGAGATCTCAACCAGAGAAAGGTTCTTTGGCCCATCATGTCTGCACCAATCAAAAGCAATTACCAAGTATTCTAATCCCATTCTCCAGCAATTGGCCCATTGGCTTGTATGCCTTGGCATCACAGGTGTACATCTAAATACTTCTTAAATGCACTGGAGATTTCAGCCTCTAGCACCCCTACAGACAGTGAGTTCCACATTCCCATCACTGTCATGTCTCCTCTAAACCTCTGCCCCTTACCTTAAATCCATGCCACCCGGTCATTGAACCCTCCCTCAAGGAGAGAATGTTTTTTCCTGATTACCTTATCCGTGCCCCTCATAATTTTACACAATTCAATCGTGTCCCCCTTCAATCTCCTTTCCTCTAGGGAAAACATCCCCAGTATGTCAAATCTCTGTTCACAACTGGAACTCTCCAGTCCAGGCAACATCCTGGTAATTTTCCCCTGCACCCTCTCCCATGCTATCATGTCGCTCCTATAAAGTGAATTCCAGAATTGCATATAGTACCATAGCTGTGGCCTAACCAACATTTTATGCAGTTCAAGCAGAACCTCCCTGCTATTACACTCTTTGACTCAACTGATAAACATACAATGTGCCTTCTTAACCACTTTATCCACCTGTCCTGATATCTTAAGGGACCAGTAGAGATGCACACCACTGTCCCTCTAATCCCAAGGTCCTACTGTTTGTCATGTATTCCCTTGCCTTGTGTGTGCTGCTCAAGAGCATCGCCTCGCATTTATCAAAATTGAATTTCATTTGACATTGCTCAGTCTATCTGACCAGCTTGTCTTGCAGTCTTATGATGCCTGTCTATTTACCACTCCATCACTTATTTGTATCATTTACAACTTAATGATCAGCCCTCCTACGTTTAAGTCTAAAAAATTTATATAAACACCAATACTGACACCTGTGGAATCCCACAGACTTCCAATTGGAAAAACACCCCTCAACCATCACCCTCTTCTTCCTACCACTCAACCAATTGTGGCTCGAATTTGCCAAATTTCCTTAGATTCCGTAGGCTCTTACCTCTGTTATCAGTCTCCCATGCAGGACCTAATCAAAAACCTTAATGACGTCTAAGTAGACTACATCAAAAGTATTGCTCGCAACTACCTAATCACCTCTTCAAAAAATTCAATCGATGTGCTCATCTGGGGGTTTTGGAGTGGTTAGTGGTAAAAGACAAATAAATCTTAACATAACAGGCACTTATCTCAGCAAACATGATAAGATTTATTACATAGTAATATTACAATTATACAGAAAAATTTTAAAACCGATTACATTATGGTGATTGCAACATGAGGAAAATAAGTTGTGACTGTTTCCAACTGCAGCTACCCAGAATTGCACTTAACATTTCCTAAACTGCCTGATACTCCATCCAGTGGCTGTGTTATATATCAGAGCTTCACTTTAGCTCAGATTAACCCTTTCATATCCATTTCCATGACAACTCCCCTCAGATTTTAATCGGATTAGTTCACCATTTATACAATGATATAAAGATTAGTTTACTTTTACCACCACCCTTTCTCCCTCAAGTCTCTGATTTCACAAATTCAAATTCTGTATCTGAACGTGTGCAGCAATCACAACAAATTAATGGTTCACTATGAAGTAAATACATATGACTGATAGCCATGATGGAGATATAGCTTCATGCTGACAGGTACCTGGTCCTGAATTTTGTGCCATTCCAGATGAATAGGAAGGTAGGTAAAGATGGAGTGGTAGCAATGTTGTTCAATGATAGTGTTAATGCAAGAGATAAAGATTACCTTGGTTCAGGAGATGAGGATGTAGAATGAGTTTGGTTGAAGATGAAGAAAAGTAGGTGAAGTAAATCATTAGTTGGGAGTTATCTGTAGACTCTCTAAAGCTAATCACAATGCAGGATGAACTATACAAGAAGAAACATTGGGTGGTTGTGATAAAAGTATAACAATATTCATGTGTATTTGAATCTACATATAAACTTGCTAATCAGTTTGGCCATGGTTGCCTGTATGAGGAGTTCGTGCAATATTTCTGAGATTATTTCCTGGATCCAACCAGAGAGCAATTTAGACTAAAATGAAATTATGTAAAGTGACAGATTAATTAATGATGTCAGAGTAAGGCACCCTTTGATGGCAATAACCATAGTATGATAAAATTATGCATCTAGTTTGAAGGGGAAAAGAGTGGATCTGAGACATACTTTAATCTTATGTAAGGACAACAATGTGGTCATGAAATCAGAGCTAGCTGGTCTGAACTGGAAAACTAGCCTAGGGGATGGATCAATAGAAAAGCAGTGGCAGACATTTATGGGATATTTCAGAATACACAGAATAAGTGTATTCCTACTATAAGGAAAAAATCTAAGGTGAGGACCTACCATTTTTGGTATATTAAGAACATCAGAAAAATATGAAACATAAGGAAAAAGTTGATAATTGTGTAAAAGTAAGTGAGAGGTCGGATGACTGGAAAGGGAGTAGAAGATTAATAAGAGTATAAGAGGACCATGACCCTACATCCGAATATCAAGCCATTGTTGCCAGGACTGTCACTGACCTCATTACCTCCAGAGATCTTACCCCCACTGTCTCCAACCTGGTAGTCTTCCAACCCCAGACAGCCTGTTTCTACCTCCTTCCCAAAATCCACAAACCAGACTGTCCCAGTAGGCCCATCGTATCAGCCTGCTGCTGCTCCACTGAGCTCATTTCCTCCAACCTTGACTCCATTCCTGTCTCCACTTGTCCAGACCCTGCCCACCCACATTCACGATTCCTCTGAAGCCCTCCGCCATATTGACAATTTCCAGCTCCCTCGCCCTAACCACCTCCTCTTCACCGTGAATGTCCAATCCCTCTACGCCCTTTCCCCACCAGGATAGCTTGAGAGCTCTCAGCTTCTTCCTTGACCAGAGGCCTGAACAATTCCCAAGCACCACCACTCTCCTCCGCCCATCTGAAATTGTTCTCTCACTGAACAATTTCTCCTTTAATTCATCTCACTTCTGCCAAGTCAAAAAAGTGGGATGGGCACCCTCATGGGTCCCGGTTATGCCTGCCTCT